TAGACTCAGACCTGTTATCAGGACATGTTCCACTTACATGCAGAAATCAAATATTGTGCAATGCAAATTTCAACACAAATTCCAATATATTGAATTGATGTAGACCTGTTCCACCATTCTAAAGCATTGGGAGGAGGCTAACCACTTGTAACGGTTATTTTTATTTCCAGTCTTGTTAAGAAAACTAAATGTTGACAACAAGGAAAAAGGCATAGCTGTCATTACATGTATTGCTCTAAGTTACTTTTGTTATTTTATTCTATTTCCTGAATAACAAAGAACACTTCTGCTTGATGCAAGAGATCCTATTGCCTTAATTAAAATTGTATTTGTATACCTAATAACTCATTTATGTTAAGCGATCATTTTCCCTTTAGTCATCTTAAATGATGTGGTTTTGTAGCTACAAATGTATTTTAAATGCTATGGAACACACTGTAGGTCAAAGCAACATTCATACTCCCTGATGTATGAGATGTTACTGGAAATATCGGGAAAGTCTTCAAGTAAGCTTTCTGTTGTCTTTCAGCCAAAGCCTGAGGTTGATCCCCTCTGTCTATTCAAGCCCAGAGCACAGAACGTTTTCCGTGACACAACTTTATTTTTTACCACCACAATATGCTTCTTTTTTTTTGTGTGTGGAAAAATGCATTCTGTTTTAATACAGATTTTATTATTTCTGTGCACTTAAGTAATCTAAAATGCTGTAAACAGGAAACCACTTGACTATTTTACAGTCATGCCCTAAAGAGGGCCTGTCTGTGTCAATTGTTGCAGACCTGGCAGTAGTCAGCACCGGAATCCAGCTGTTAGAAGTCCAGCGAAAAACTTAGGATCTGTTTCATACGTCTCCTGTCAGTGTTGTTCACACTGATATATTTTTTTAATCTGCTTTCTTAATAGATTTATAAAAACTGTATGGCATCCAGAGCCAGTGTAATTTTATGGATAAAGGTATAAAGTGTAGCCACCTTGAGATGCCTGTACATCTGGAGCAACCTCCAAAACCCTGTCATTCTGACAGACAATTCTCCAACATACCTTTTTTGCTGCTACCTTCCACCCCCTCACATTCCACTTGGTCCAGTATATTGGCCAAAATAAATTTGGAGGCCATGAACAAATCCCTATTTGATGGGCTGAGGTGAGCAGACCACAAATCTGCCCAGTCTTTGTCCTAGCTCAGTTTGTGCTGATCAACCAAACCAGCACACAGTTAGAATTTCGTATGAAAAGAAATTTCTTTTCAGAGCGTGCTTTGATTTTTCTAATAGTTAATGGGGTTACATTGATGATCAATTTTGACTGTAGTGATGAAAAAAATCAAAAAAGCAGAATGGGAAATCAAGCAAGCAAAATTCTAAAAGTAAATGGGGTTTTTGTTTGGGAAACTTTAAATGACAGAAGAGACTGTGTAAGTCTCAAGAAGAAGCTTCTTGTTGCTATTCGGCAATATTTGATTTTCTGTACACGGAGACGCACATGCGCAGCTCAGTGCACAGAGCAGGAGCTACCTTATCTGGTGGCCGAAGACTTGAAACCAAGAAGAAGACAGGGAGAAAGATAGAAGTGCTGGTGAGAAAGAAGCACTGTGCTGGAGGGGATCATACTGCTGGGGCACTGTTCTGGAGGGGATTAAACTGCTGGAGCACTGTGCTGGAGGGGATCATAATGTGCTAATAGCTATGTATACTATCACATTATACTAATAGCTCCAGGCACCCCCCCCCCCCTTTTTTTCCCCTAAATTAAATATTTATTGGCTTACAAGATTAAACTTTACAAAATACAGAGAATCTGTTCTTGTTTTTTTTATTTTTTTTATACTTACGCTTTATATAGTTTAAACTAGGCTAACTTATGATTAAAGATTTCAGATGACTGGTGTAAGTTGCTGCACTCAGTATATGCATCAAGCTGTATGTTGAAAGTAAATGTTGACAGTATATCTCCCTCTGTGTCTTACCAAATAAGTATGTCTATACACTTAATTAGTTCTATTATACTATTTTATACTGAAATAAGTTTTCCTTTATTTTTTAGAATGCTCAAGCAAGGAACAATAAGTATCTTATGCTGCTGCATTTACAAGAACATTGATTCAGTTATTCTTAGATATCCAAATGTAGGAAAATGATTAATATTGCATAGGAAATCACAGTGCACCAATACTGCGACTACTTTCAGTTATAAACATAATTTCAAATATTTCTGTCTAAGCAAGGTGAAGGATACAGAAAGCAAGAGGTCTTCACTATGGAACAAGGAGGGCATTGTGCAGATACGCAGTAAGATTGAAACATCACCTTCTCTATTTAGCTGTGGCAGAATCTGCCAAGCCTGGGATTTGATCATTTTATTTGCTCCACTGGCATCTGTGAATCAAGTCTTATATGACCAGGGTATCCTCTTTAAAGCTCACATCATCACTTTAAAGAGGATATTTTTAATCAGGTAAATTTTATTGATATTTCGCATTACATAAAAAGAGAAAGCTCACAAGCGGACATAACTGTATATAACAGTCCCATGTAACAATAAAGGTCTGAGAGATAAAACATATCAGGGTTGATTGCTGAAACTTAATATGCACATTCTTGAGGAAAATATGAATTATTTAATACAGCAGGGGAACCAGGGTGGGTGTCACTCGGTGAAGCCGCTGCACATGTGTTATGATGTCCATGGCGTGACGTCATCACGCATGCGCTGTGATGTATTTCACTGCCAGCGTCCATCACAAAAATGGATACCGAGAGAGGAGGGGATATTGACCTGGCGGGATCCGGTAAGCCACCAGGTCCCACCCCCTCTCTCTTGTGCCGCTATCGGGCTCTTGGTCCATGACTGGGTGCTCGACTTAGGGGGTGACACCAAAATGACTGCCAGTCATTTTGGTGTCACCCAGTGCAGGCCTCATCCCCCACACCCCTCTTGATACTACTGATTAAATCCTTTAAATACATTAAGGGACTGATTTATAAGTCGTTAATACCCTGGATGGAGCTGAAGAGCATAGGGAATTCAACAGCATTCTCCTAGCTATATGCTGGGCAAACCTATTATAAATCAATCAAAGCAACTGGACTTGCTGGATTTTTCTTGAAGACATTTTGCTGGTTGTTTAACTAGCTTTCTCAATTCAGAATCCGACTAGCTTTCTAAATTTTTAGTGCAACATGCATCAAACGTACTTAGCGTAACATGAATCAAATGCCATCAGTGTAACTTGCACCAGATGCCTTCGGTGTGACATGAATCAGATGCCTTCAGTTTAACTTTTATCAGCTGCCTACAGTGTCCTGAATTACATTCCAACAATGCAACATGCATTGCATGCTCAGTGTAAGATGCATCAGATGTCCTCATCGTAACTTGTATTGGATACCTACAGTTTAACATTCATCAGACTCCCTCAGTGTACATCCCCCAGGGTAGCTAATTACACCTGGCTGACTGGATATCAGAAACAGAACACCCATGACGAGCCTTTGAAACTTTTATTTCATACATATACGTTCCTGTGGATTACGCTTCCCCTTACTCAGGGCTTTTCCTGCACAGCGTTACTGATTATTGACAAAGTCCCCACCATTCCAGTGATGGAATATAAAATAAAACATTTTCACCAGTTTAAAGAACTTGAAAAATAAGTGTTTCTTCATGTAAGATTCAGTAATCATATGAAGCAGAGATGCAACTCGTTTCCGATATCCGGCCAGCCAGATACAGTTTGCTAACAATTTCAATTCTCTTCACAGGTGAAAACTGTGGTGGTAGTTGTGCAGTGTCTGTACTCAACTCATCCATTAACCACTATAACAAACAGCTTTTTTTGTAAATAAATCTCTCCCATAGAGTCCCCTGATATGCTATGGGGACCGTATAAACAGAAATTTGGGGGGGAGGAGGGGGGGTTGTTGTTTCTTTCTTGATTATTATTATTATTATTACTACACAGAAAGGACTGTAGTTGTATTGATGGTATATAATTTGGAAGGGTAGATGCAAATTGTGCAGTTCTAAATCCTTCCCCAAATGATAAATTGTTTATATGTGCAGCTATGATGTGTATATTTACATAAAAAACTCTGCTTAGCACTTTTTGTAGCTGAACTGCCATTGCATTTTGTAAAGAAAGAACAAACCTTTATAGAAAAAAGGGTATTTATTTAAATAACTACCCTTTTTTTCTATAAAGGTTTGTAGAAAAAAAACCTTTATAGAAACCTTTATAGAAAAAAGGGTAGTTATTTAAATAAATACCCTTTTTTCTATAAAGGTTTGTTCTTTCTTTACAAAATGCAATGGCAGTTCAGCTACAAAAAGTGCTAAGCAGAGTTTTTTATGTAAATATACACATCATAGCTGCACATATAAACAATTTATCATTTGGGGAAGGATTTAGAACTGCAGAGTTTTAAGTCCAGAACATAGACTGTCCCTCTAAAATAACTGACGAGCGCAAGTTACAACCGTCTTTTTTTGCAGGATGTAACATATTAAACACAAGTTCAGTGGCATCATTATTAAACCGTATCCTTGTTATATCGAACTTACATAACAATTCTGGTATGTATTCGCAGCACTTATAAGGTCTATAGACTGTAAAGTGCATATATGATTGCGATAAGGATAAACTGTAGCACTGTTCTATGAGAGGAGGATATAAACACTGTTTAGTAGGCTGCCACTATAAAATTACAAGAGATATTGGTGTAGATGGAGAATAGAAGGGGGCCCAAGGACAGACCCTTGAGGGACCCTAACGGAATGAGGAAGAGGAGAGTAGGAGGTAGAGCTGTAGGTGACAATGAAAGTGCGCTGAGATAGGTAGGAGGTGAACCATGAGAGATTCTTGGAGGGTAAATGCCCCCTTTACTTTGTACCATGACACACAATCTTATGTTCGCTCAGTACAGCTTTTAATCTTTGAGCATAAGGACACGAGCAAAAACACAATCACAATCATTGCATATAAAAAAGTAGGAAATACTCACTAGTGCTATTAACCTGCCATCTTCCTTCATGGCAAGATAGCGATTTGCACCGATTCCCTTGATTGAAACAACACCTCTTTCTTCTGCTTGAAATTGCAATTTAACTGCAGAATGAAAAATATAAAATCATATAATGAATTACTTAAATTTAAACTTGGCAACACCCACAGATTTTTCCATTTACTAGCTAACACTTATCTGGAGGAACAAGTCTGAACTTTTGGCTACACCACCACCACCAGATTTAGAAAACTCATCCCTCTCTTTTGCTTGCTGAACCACAGGTATTCCCTATGTTAAGGTGAACCTGCTGGCCTGCTACCTTCTAAAATGGTTCAAAGTCCAAAAAGTGTTTGTATGCGGATATCATCTTCAGATCACCCCTGGAGTGGCTGAAACCCAGGACTTCCCACTATGCAATCATTAACAAGGGCTTGAGTGGTCAAGCATACAACACAGGGGGCAAATAAAAAGTAAAGGTAGCCACAGCAAAGGGTTACATAATCATAGTAAAGTTTCTAAATGAGAGAATAGCATGAATCTTACCACTATGAAGAACGTAAAAATTATTTATCAGAAGAACAACACTGCACTCCCGTCAAAGAATACCATCCTAAATGTGTCTCTACATACTATAATTATACTTAAATATTCCCTTCTAGAACTAATAATAATTTTACATTTGCATGCAGCTGCAAACAATATGAACACGACCCCCCCTCCCTCCCCCCCCATCACTGAAAATCCAGGAACACCCTAATTTAAAGGACTCTTTCTGTGAGTAGACACAACTTTTAACATTGTTATGTCTGAGAACAAGAGCATAGTTAACTACGCACATTGTTTACATTCCATTGCAGGACCATAAGATCATCAACTCAGCCTTTTAACAGGTTTTAGCAAGTGAGAAAGTAAAAATTTAACAACTTAGGTATTAGAAATAACATGCTATACTTACCTTATAACCCATAATCCTAATTTATTGCATTGATTACTTTCAAACAAAAGTATAAAACAAAACAAAGAGCAGTGGCAAAAAGACATCAGTGGCTTCAACTGATTATCTTCTCTATGATAGGTGGTATAGCAAGGGCCCATGCTTTGCCTAATATTTTGCAGGAAAAGTCATCCCTCTTTATCATCTCAGAAAGTTGGTAGTGTTGTGATACACGGTAAACCATTCCATGACTGTTCTACCCCTTTAGGATTTTTAGTCTTTTATGATAAAGGCAACACCCTTTATCACTGCACCTCCTCCTGCACTCCATACAGCACTGTGACTTGTTCAGATAAGGTGGAGCTCGTAATGACAACCACGGATGCACCATCTGGATCCTCAAAGATTTAATTCTTACAAATCTGTTAGCATTAACTGATGCATATAAGAGCATACTAAGGACAAAAGAAGGCCCATTTTCTATGAACCATAAAAAGACCAAAAAAAGATCAACAAAGATGATGTCTCTGCCACCTGGAAGTTTCTTTCCAGGTAGGATACTGCTCAGAATGAGTGTACATACTATACTCCAGGTGCAATTGTTTGCTACTCTCTTTGAGAATTTTAGTTTACTGACACAGTGGGTTATAGTCGATCAAAGCATTTATACACAAAAAATACATCATGCAATACTACAGACTAAAATATTTGTTCTTATTAAGGTAAGACTATTAGAGGTCTTTTCCAAAGGATGTTATACAGATTTCGGAGTCCCTGCCAACAAATAAACATGTTCTAGTAATTTCTGAAACACAGCTACCCAACCAGGTGGTGCTCAATAAATATTTAGATATATTTAAGTGGACCTTGCACCTCCCTCATAGTTTGTGCATCTTGTCTCCTGAACTCCTTGTTGTATCAGCAGGTCATTTTCATGTCTGTTGCATACTGGGCAGATATTTCATTCACAGTCACAACATTCAAAGCAAACATAAAACCAACAGCCTAAGGCTGGCTACACACTAAGTGAATTTCAGCTGGTTCCTTATGAACAGGCCGAAATTCGTTCAGTGGGTGGCCCTGTCTGCCGCCTCCCACCTGACATTTGTCGAATGAAAAATCAAAGGAGCTGGGCAGAGAACTGTCAGCTGAGCAGCTCCTGCATCCAATCAGATCAGGTATTTTGAAAGCTGAAGGGACCGACTGTTGAAATACAATAGCTGCAGCAGGAGCTTCCTTCATCCACTCTGTTTAGCACGGATGGAGGAATTTGTCAAATTTTTTTCTCTTCAGCCCAAAAGCTGCAAGGTGAAAAGTCCCAGGTACATAAAATATGTAATCCCATCTGTCTGTGCTGGTACGGAGATCAAGCATGGTACCAGCTTCAATTGTGCTTCATCAAGAGCCAGCTTTTTCTTCTTGATTCCTTTAGCCAACCAACTCATGCCACACACACCAGATCCCATGAATGTGTAGTGTAGTTTAGATAATCAAAATGCACATCTTGGCAGATGACATACTGTATGTTAATGTCATATGAAGAATGTAATCGGTGCAGGAGTGAAAACCCATTAGAATATAGAGATATCCAAGGTCTACCTTCAGTAGCTAGTGAAATATCTTATCCAAGAGCAAACAAACCAAACAAAAAAAAAAACTGCTCTACCTCCTCAGACTCAAATCCTTGATCGGAACCTTGGTGCTCAGTAAACGGTCTCTTACAGTCTTAGAACAAGCGCTTCCATATGAAGAATCAGCACTTGAAGAAACAATCCTCCCAAGATAATCTTTATTTCATGTTATGGCATAAAAACAGCACTAATGTATTTCAGCCCTTGTCAATGGCCTTAGTAATAGCAATAAAAACTGACATGACACTATCCTTAAATATCCATATAGCCTTTATTTATAAGAATGACACAAGTACACTATTTCAATTTCTATTCAATCTAATAAATATAAAAGAAATTACATATACGGTATATACAGTATATATATATATATATATATAGG